GTGTTAAATTTAGAAGGATTTTAAAAAATATCTTGATTGGGACAAGTTTTTCTTTTTTAGAAACTAAAATTTGGGGGGAGAAAATGGAAACAATGCGTGATTTCTTCTCAGTATATTTCCTTGTATAAACATAAATCAACCTTCCCATCCCACCAAGAATAACTGTACCAACATCTAGTTTGCAAACTTCTAAGAGATGTGAGTGTCTGTAAAGAGCACATCTTCCTGTTCACCTCTCCTTTTCTTTTTTCTTTCCCAGAACAACGCACAACGCGGGAGCTTCTTAGAAGGAAAGTAGACATTAGTAGAGGAGCAGCAGCCTGTCGGGAGAGCTTGTGGGAAGAGGGAAGGGCACACAGACATTGTGTGTGCCCTCCCCTCTGTTCTGCCCAGTGAAGCAAGGGGGCAGGAAATAAAGCAAGCTTCATCAGTCTGATGAGTGCCTGTTACAAAAAAGACCCGAGTGGCCCAGAGACGCATGTGATATTTCATGGTAAAACAAATAAAAAGTAGAACAGAGGGACAACCAGATTTTCGAGGTGTGTTAGTATTCTGTAGCTGTGATGAAACACCTGGAAAAGCCAATTCCAATTTAATTTTGGGTTCATGGCTGGCTTCAGAGGTTTCAGCTCAAAGTCTTTCAGTCTTTGGGATTTAGGGAGAACAGCATGGTGCGGGAGTGGGTGGAGCAAAGCTGCTCCTGACCACTGGGATGGAAGCGGGGAGGGGGGCAGGGGTGGAAGGAGGGAGGGAAGAAGGCCAGGTGGGGTAGAAGGGAGAAAGAGAGAGAGAACATGGAGTTCCAATATCCCCTTCAAGGGTTCACCCAGTGACCTAATTTTCTTCTACTAGCCCCACCTACTAATGGGTCCACTGTTTCCCAGTAGTGCTCACTATTAAATATAATACCATTTGGAAGAAAGCTGACACATTTACCCTTCCTTTCCCAGACTGACTGCTTTATTTATTATTATTTTTAACATTTGATGCTTTGATGAGAACCGGAAAGATAACACTAACCTACACTGCCCTTTGCCATCATCCTCCACTGCTTTCTTCTGTTTTTCTCCCTCAGGCTTTTGGCCCATAGGATAATTATGTGTCACCTTCCTTTCTTGGACCCACTTTCGCTGCACTATTATTATTATTAATCATTATTATTATTATTATTATTAAATTTAGCATCCACAGATTGATAAGCAAAACTCTGACACTTGGCCTCTGGCAGGGGGTCAGGGGGTTTAAAGGGGGGTGAGGGGCATTTAAGATTCAAACCATAACACAAAGCAAGATGGACCCAAGACATGCCAAAAATTCTCTTTTTTTTTCTTGCGGAGAGTGGATTTAGCTTTAGGAGCTGCAGCACACTGGCAAATTAGACAAAGAAAGAAATGGGGGTAGAGCTATCGTGCACCGTGTCCACGGGGTCCACACTCACCGACTACTCAAGAAAGCATGACCGTCCGTGACAGGGCAGCACTGAGAAACTTTTGCCCTGGCTAAGTCTTGAACATGCATAGTTTCCTGTCATCTTCTATTCAACATAAGCTTGTGACATAATAATAAAATACATTTCTCCAAAAACAGTTTCATGGAGTTGATGGAAGAGGGATGCTAATAAAAATCAAAATTTTAGCTAAAGTCAAAGGGAGCATATTCAGAAAACAACACACACAGGACAAATCTTTTATTTAGTTTCCTAACAGTGAGTACTATAGTCACCAAGAAGTCTTAGGAAATGAGCTTGGTCCATGTCTTAGTTTTGGATTATCAGAGTCATTGAGTTTGATACAGTAAGGGACTTGAGTAACAAGCCCCTGCTTTCTTTTTCCAGATGAAGACACTAAGGCTCAGGAAAGGCTAGGCAATTTCAAGGTCACACAGAGCCGCAGACTGGAATGAGTATTTCTTACGCCCCAGTCCAATGCATTTAGACATCAAAGGATGCTCGAAAAGTCTGAGTTTGAACTCAAGCTTTCAGAGGTCATTAAAACCACGCTACTTGTAAAAATGCTTCCTTTTAGGCATTCAGCTGTGTGCAGACAGCGCAGTGTGGAATGGAGTTGTTTTTTGCTGTAAGTGGGTCATTGTTCTACCATTATGTTCTACCTGTTGATACTCCAGGGATCAATTTTTCCTCCAACAGGCTGTTTGTTCTGTCACAGCATTCCTTAAAAGGGTCTTGTACACAAACCTTGTCTTTGTTTTGGTGTCAGTGAGAAGTCCGGTAGACAGATGTAAGAACATTTGCTCTTTACTAGGTTTGGAAAAAACAGTGCAGTATTCTTTTGAATGGTCTATTCCTTTATGAAACAATGATTTCCAACCCAATTTCCCACTTGGAGAACTCAAAGTGATATATATGTCTGCTGTTAAAAAAAACAAAGTTAGAAGATGCAATTCTACCCTTTTTAGAAAAAAACAAAACAAAATTATTTTAGAGTTTAGAAACAAAACCAGACAAAGAGTAGGAAATATCAGATTATCTCAGATCAAATATCCTTTTTAAAATATTTATTTTCTAAATGTATATTTGGAAAAAAGATTTAGGCAATATGCCCTTAACAGGATTTGAATGAAGATGAATTCTAGCACTTGTAAAGTGGCATTAAGGTGGTCTTTATTTCCTCCAAATTGCTGCCTACTCTAAATTTGTTTTTCTTAGTGTTTTGAGTTTCCGAGTCTACAGATTAAAAAGGAGGTGGGAAGGGTTCCTGCTTCTTGGCTCTCTCTTTTCAGTTCTAAAACCTGTGCTTGTTTGCAGTGGAGATGCGGCATGTATCCCTAAGGATACGAAAGCAATTTTCTTGCAAATAGATGCCACTTCCTTTGTCCAAAGGGATAAACCAGATTGTGACAAAGGGATGAGCAGGATTCTGAACAGAACAGGACATTCTGACTGATTGGATGCTACTTTCTGTTTTTGTTCATTCATTTCATCAACTCAGTAAATGCCTCATTCTGATCTCTTGCCTATCCCCCAAAAAGAGTATCCTTAGGGGTCCCCTCAGGAGCAGAAGCATCTAAATCTGTGGACCATCACTTGAACATTAAGAAGCATTTTTATCAGCGTTCTGATTTTAGCGTTTGTGTGTGTGTGTGTGTGTGTGTGTGTGTGTGTGTGTGTGCATACCCATGCATGTGGAGGTCAAAGGACAGGATCAAGAATCATTCCTCAGGAACTGTCTACTTTGTTTTTTGAGACAGGGTCTCTCATTGGCCTGGAGCTTGCCCGGTAAACTAGGCTGGCTGGCCAGCAAACCCTTGGGATCTTGTCTATCTCTGCCTTCTCAGTTCTAGGAATGTTAACCTTGGCTTTTGTATGTGGGTTTTGTTGATCAAATTCAGGTTCTCATGTTTGCAAGGTGAGCATTTTACCAACTGAGCTATCTTTCAGCCCCGATTTTAGTGTTCTTGTGGGACAGTTATATGTAATGGATTGATAGGACAAAGTAAAATTTGGGTTGTGTATAGCTTTCCTTTACCTCTCAAATTAACTACAATTTGCATGGTTGAAGTGTATGATCCCCTTACTCAGATTTTTGTGTCAATTCCAAATTCCTGGGCTTCACTCATATTATTTGAAAGTATTCATTCTTTTGTTTTTTTAAAAAAATGCTGAGGCCCTAGCCTGTGCTGGACTCTGTATCTTACAAAAAGATGTAGCTACTTCTAAGAATTCATTTGAATTATTTACAGGCAACATGATAAATATCACAATAATCATTGAGAAATAAAGCAGACTTTGTGTAATGATTGGAACTATATGAAAATATCAGTCGGGTATAGAGCAAAAGAAATAACAGCTGTTTTGCCTTAGACTTGAGAGATAATAGAAGTTTTTTCCCCTAAAAACAAAATTTTTAGGGACTGGTAGAGTGCTTGCCTACTGTACAGGAAAGCTTGATTCCATCCCCAACACTGCATAAAACCAGCACTCCAGAATTGGAGGCAGGAGGATCAGAAGTTCAAGGTCATCCTTGGCTACATAGTGAGTGTGAGGCCAGTTTGGTTATGTGAAACCCTGCTTCAGGGAAGCAGACAAGAAAATGGTCTAGGGAGATAGTACCATTGGAAAGTGTTTGTTTTGCAAGTACTCCAGCTTGTGCCCCAGAACCCACCTAAAAAAGCTGGGTGTAGTGGTATGTGCTAGTAATCCTATTGCTGGGTAGGCAGAGACAGGTAGATCTCTGTGGCTCACTAGCCAACCAGTCTAGTTTCCTTGGTTGAGCTCCAGGCTAGTGAGAAACCCTGTCTCAAAAATAAAAAGTGAACCAAGCTTCAACAATGACACTCGAACTTGTCTTCAGGCTTCTGTGCTCACCTGCACACACACACACACACACACACACACACACATACACACACACAACCCCCCCACACTCCTGTACATATGCAAACATGTACACACACTCATGCATGTGTATCTCGACTCATACACTACTGCATACATGCAGACATATACATATTCTCATGCATGTGTGTTTACACACACATATGCACATGGACACACACACCAACATGTACACAAAAAGCAACAAAAGACCAGCATTATTTATTTATTTATTTATTTATTTATTATTTATTGTGACAGAGTCTCACTATGTAGCCCTGGCTGACCTGGAACTCACTATATAGACCTGGCTGACTTCATACAGAGATCCACCTGCTTCTGAGTGCTGAGATTAAAGGCATGTGTCACCATGCTCAGCAAGACAGAACTTTTATTAGTTTTTAAAAATGAAAATAATGGTAAATTCAAATACACATAATTACTCAAAGCTAGACAAATATGGTTGATTCAAGTTATCTGAATTTTCACTGCTGTTTTGTCAATGTTTATTGAATGAATTCATTCAAGTAAAAGAACTCTAGGTGTTTCTGAACTTGGAGTGATTGCCTTACCAGCTGATCTGATTTTCACAAAAGCCTGTCTGCTGTTTGCTTGGTCTCAGGCACAGCCATAGCTGATCGTTCTGTTCTCTCTGTGTTATTTATAGGGATATTTTGCACCATTTCACTCTGCACGTATGCTGCCAGTATCTCCTATGATTTGAACCGGCTCCCGAAGCTAATTTACAGCCTGCCTCATGATGTGGAACATGGCTACAGCTGGTCTATCTTTTGCGCCTGGTGCAGTTTGGGTTTTATTGTGGCAGCTGGAGGTCTCTGCATCGCTTATCCATTTATTAGCCGGACCAAGATTGCACATCTAAAGTCTGGCAGGGACTCTACAGTATGACTGTCTGCACCGGGCTACAGCGTGGGTGACTCCAACTGGAGTGGAACCGAGTTCACATCAAGATTCTAAGCACAAAGAGGAGGTCTTTTACATTCCAACCTGTTGTCTGCAGCCCTTTCTGGATGACTGATAGAAAATCTTGCAGGACCTCCCAGCCTTTCAAAGGACAAGACTACTGTGGATTCAAGTGCTTTAATGACTATTTATGCTTTGACTGCAAAATGTGGAGCAGCGCCATGGGACATTTCTAGGCATTGGAAAAGAGGAACTGCAATGGGGAAAAATTTGTACGATTTCCATTTATTTCAGAAAGTTTGTATATAATGATTACTGGAGAGTCATTTCTATTTGCAAAAGGATTCATAACAAAGCAAGTATAATTTTCTTGTCAGCGTACCAGGCTTGTTCAATTTTAATGCAGCATCTTCAGAACTTGTCCTAATGGTGTCTTGTTGTGTCAGCACCTGATATTTGTGCATTCTTTGTAGATGTTCCTTGTCACAGGAGGATTTTTCTTCTGTTGCCTTATTATTACTTTTATGAATTAAAGTCTATTCTCTGTGTTTGTACTGGATTCAAAAGCATAAAAAAAAAAACGCAAAAAACAAAAACCAGATCAACCGTGTAAGAGCTACCCTGTACCACTACACAGTATTGTTTGAGGTCCCACCTGTGTCTCTTTTTGTTCACTGGGTTTCTGCATTAAATGACTACCCCCTTGTTAATTAGGTGTGCTCTTTCTCTGCCTTTTAGCTGGATCAACAAGTCTCCTTAGCCATGAGATAGATAAGAGCTCTGTTTTTTCTTTATTATTTATTTGGCTTGTTTTTTGAGGCTAGGTCTTGGTTATATACCCTAGGCTAACCTCTAACCCACTGTGTACCCCAAGCTAGCCTTCAGCTATGTCACTTAGACTGACCTCGACCCTGCAGCAATTCTCCTGCCTCATCCTAAGTGCTAGGATTACAAGCCATGAGCCAGCATGACCAAGTTTTACTAAGCCTAGTTTCTTCATGCTAATTAGGCTGGTGATTATTATTTATCTTTTTTTGAAACAATCACATGCTTTCTATCGACATGTCATTTTCAAATTTAATTATAATATTTAACTTCCCATCCCTTTACCATCTGCCTGGTATTCATCCAGTAATAAAGATATATAGTCCTCGGCCTTTTTCTTAGACTTCGAGCCCAGGGTTCTTTTTTATTTATTCTTTTTATTATTTTTATGCATATGAGTATATTGCCTGCATTTATGTAAGTGCACCCTTGTTGTGCAGTGCCAGCAGAGGTCAGAAGAAGGCATCAAATCTCCTAGAACTGGAGTTACAGATGGGTGTTAGCCACCATGTGGGTGCTAGAAATCGAACCTGGGTCCTCTGCAAGAACAGCCAGTGCTCTTAATTTCTGAGCCATCTTTCCAGCCCCAAGTCTAGGGATCTTTCAACTTAGCTTGCACATGAGAACCACCTAACAAGTTCAAGTATACCTGAATAGGACTCTTCTCAGACCAATTAACTCAAAGTTTACAGGTGAGCCTAAGCTTGAATTTTAAAAAGAAAAGAAAAAACCTAGATAATTCTGGTGTGCCATTTGATCTGAGGAGAACCACTGCTTGGACCCAGAATGTGGCTCACTTCCTAATAGATCTAGCTAGCTTTCTCAGCACTGACATGTGCCAGTCAGATGGGCTGTGCTTCTTCCCAGGTCTTATTTCATCCAGCCCTCTCAAAAGCTCCACCAGGCAGGGACTATCCCAAAGCAGCTGAGGGTCAGGCTAGGAATATTTGCTTCACTTTTTCTCTTTAAGATCCTTCCATTGAACTTCTTATCTTCTAGTGAAAGGGTGCGCACTACCGTCTAAGCTTTTCCTTTTAGCTTCAACATCAGCCCCTATCTACACATGACATACATGTATGATAAAGTTCTGTAAACTAAGGGAAGATGCCATATCTTGAATAAGATGCTGTTTCAAATTTTAATTGCACTTCTTTAAAAACCTGGTTTATAAGCTGAGGCTGTAACGCAGTTGATAAAGTACTTGCCTAAAATGAACAAAGTCCTGGGTTCCATTCACATCACTGCATAAATCAGGCATACATACACATGCACACCTATAATTCTAGTACTGGGAGGGAGATGGAGGTCAAAGGATCAGAAGTTCAATGTTATACTTGGCTACAACATAGTGAGTTTGAGGCCAGCCTGGGCTACAGGAGTCCCTTTCTCAAACAACGACAGCGACACCCAACTAATTTAGTACTTAGAAAAGAAAAATGATAATTATCCCCCAGAGAAAATAAAGTTAATTTCCAACTGCTGAGGAGGATGTTGGGAAGAGGTGCTGATGCCCGTGGCCCCTCGAGTGCTGTCCTGAGGGTCCAGACACAGCTGAGGCCCCAGCACACTTTTGTCAGTCCCTCTAGCCGGTTTAACAAACTGGTCTCTTTAGATGAGATCAGAGACATCTAGAAAGAGGCAATTATTTTCATTTATTACTTATGTGGGAAATTCTCAAAGCAGGAGAGTGCTTTCTTTGAAGTCTTTTTGAAGGATGCCCATAGAAGATGTCAGGACTCTTGAACATTTACATTCCACCCACCACAGCAGTGTCTGAGTGAGTTACTTTTGAAGTTTCAGAGACTCTTTCTTGGGGTTTGAGGTGAAGAGGGAAGAAAGCTTTGCAGTGGCAGAAGGTGGAAGGGTTCATACACCAGAAAGGTTCCTGGGAAGCTTGGGAAGTTCACAGGATTTAAATGAGAGCAGGCAAGAGCCTTCCTGCCTTCCAAGTTTGAGAACATGGGGCATGAACCTGGACAAAATTCCTTGATTTCTATTTACTATCCAGGAAGTGTGAGTGAATATTGTCAGCATCCGGTGTTGGGCCCCCATCCTAGGGCCTTCTAGGTGTGCTTCATTAATTGACACTTGAATGAAGACTGGTTGAAATGGCTGCACGGGCTGTATTGATGATGAATCATTTCTTGAGCGTCTTTGCCTGTTCTCTGTATGTCCTCTCCAGCTTTTCATTGTGTGAATGTGGCTAGACTATTTCTTTGCCTCGGGGTTTTTTGCTAGGCAGAAAATAGAGGTAGCTGAACTCATTGAAGTTAAGGATACAATTGGTCCAGGAGTGGGAGGGTCACAGAAGGGGGTTCTATCACAGGCTGAAAGTGCCCAAGGGCATCTCAGAGCCTGCAAAGGGAGGAGGATGGCAACTGTGTGATTAGCTAGCTATACCCTCCTTGCAGGGATGCTGGGTCCTTGGTATAATATTTCCTCTAGCCCAAGAGCAGATTCAGTAGTCTGGGAAGGACTAGGCCTTGGTCAGGGGCTTCTCGATAGTAGCCAGTCTGACACTTGGATAGTCTAGGGACATTGGCTCATCTGTGCTTAGGGGCTCCCCAATAGTGACTGAAGGCAATTTTTTCCCCCAATCCCACAAAATAAAGCTCTGAGTTATGTGTGGATTTATAGCGCATCTGAGATGGTAGGCTAGGAATCATGTCTATCTGCCACATAGAGATATAACATTTAAGCAAGAAGGTGTTACCAAAGGTCCCGATGAGATAGCCACAGGCTCCACATAACCCTCTTCTGAATAGCCTTGTCCTTGGCTTACTTTGATAGAACCAGGACCACCCACTCTGAGGAAACTTTCCCTTCTCTTTGGACCAGCAGGAACTCTTGAGAGTCAAGATTTTCCAGGTTGTGGGAAACCTCAACAGAACATAATATCCCTTATAAAGTTAACTAAGTATTTCAACAAATATTTATGTAATGCCTAATACGTGCCGAGCACTCTGCTGGACACTTGGGATACAATAAACCAAAACAAAGGTTCTTGCCTTTGTAAAGCTTATGTCATAAAATGTAGTAAAGCACATGTTAAAAAAAAAAACAAAAACCAGTCATCCTTTCTGACCTTAAATTGAACAAATCCAGAATCAAAGTAATTCAGACAGTTGTCACAATAAGGTGCTCTTGAGCTACAATCCCCCTGGTTGTCTGCATGTCCATTCACATAACTCTTACCATTTACATGAACTTTTTGGAGGTGGGAAGGTACCTTTTGAAGAGTTCCCATTTGAAACTGAAATAAGAGAATAATAAAAGTGCACTACACAGGTGAACTAACTAGAGGGATGGAGAGGAGCTTGGGGTCCCTGAGACAGGTAAATGGAGACCTGTGAGCTTGAGGAAAACTACCAGATGAGGGCTCAGTGGCTGGGGTTCTCAGTGGCTGGGGTTCTCAGTGGCTGGACATTGCCTCCAGGTCTGCTTAGGCTGTTTCCCATGCTGTGGACACCCCGGTCTCTGCTTGGCTTACTTCACACTGCATCACAACCCCCCCAGACACCATCCTCGAATGAGCTCACTGCCATAGTCCTTCCCTTACCAGTTATTCTCCACATGCTAGTTAGCATTAACTAGACTCAAGACGATGTTTGCATGGCATGATGCAAACTGCCATGTCTGTAGTACTTAGTCTCCAGTGCTTGGCCCTGTGCCTGGCGTACAGTAGATGCTCTCAGGTATCAGTGGAATCAATGAGTGAATTCAGTGTCACAGATAAACTCTCCTTCCCTAGACACAACTAACTCTCCTGACACCCATTTTAGGGATGCCATTAAAAACAGACAGTAAGATGATGAGGCTAACTGGCAAAAGAATATAGCTTGGTAAGCAAGTAACCCTCATTAGAATAATTAAAGGGGCTATTAACCCAAAGTAACCCAGATATAACTTGAAATGCATTACGGACAAAGCACTATGGAACATTTATTTGATGGCTCAAACACTATTAAATTAGTGACCTCAATATGATTCTACACCTCAATTGAAACCTTCCCATTTATGTGCGGGTATTTTAAATCTCTAATTGGAATTCTGAAAGAAATGCTTCAGAAATAATTTCCTTTGAATGCAAATAGCTATACTGACCAAGAACTCTTTTAAACTGCATTTGAATTTCTCTAGGGCTTTTTCCTTTGACCAGAAGGAGAGGAAGTTCTCTGTGCTGCAAAATAACCACAAATGCTTAAAGATGCTCAGGGCACCCAATTGCATGCTGGGAAAATGGCCATCCAATATATTTCTTCTTTGTATGCAACCTGTATTTTGTAAACTTTAAAAGCAAGATTTTTAATTATTCTAAACTCTATTTGAGTATGCCTGTCTGGGCACCTACAAGAGGAAAAACAAATTGGTTACTTATGAAATAAGATGCTTTTCTTTCTTTGTGTCTGTGCATATGTGCATATTCAGTATATGTGTATGCACAGGTATATGCGCCCATGTGTGTGTGTGTGAGGAACAGAAGAAGGCATTGATTCTCTCTCTCTCCTGCTCTCGGCCTTGTTCCCTTGAGGCAGGGACTCTCACTGAACCTGAAGCTTGCTTAAGCTCTCCAGATCTGCCTGTCTTAGTCCTTCAAGGCTGGGATTACAGGTATGTGAGGTCATGCCTGGGGATTCAAACTCAGGTTCTCATGCTTGTACAGCAAGTACTCTTATCCACTGAGCCATCTCCCCAGCCATTTCCCTCTGTCTTTATTTCCTGTTTTTACTCCCCTTCAACATTCACTGTTAAAATGGCACCTACTTTGTGTGTAAGTCCTTGGACTACCATGGGTCTCCTTCAACTCTGTACATGAATGTTTTGCAGATAGGGACTAGAGAAGACCAAAGATCTGGAAACAAAAGGGTAGTGTATAGGTGCTGTT